TGCGAGAAATACGCTTTACTTCAGATGAAGCTGTACATCAGCACCTTGTTCAATTTTTTGGCCTTAAAATAAACAAAAAAAAGCGTCATGACTTTTCCGACAACCCATACCTAAGAGCCAAAAATTACACACTCAATCTTTATTTACACTGCGTTCCGTCGTAATTTGCGTCTGGCATTGCGGCGTTGTCAGATTTTATTTTACTTTAAAGTCTCTTTTCTCTAAGAAAATGCCGTTTTGACCTCCATGTTATATGAAATTTTTTGCTTCTTTTAACCCCCTCTATCACCCATTTAAATAATGACTATCATAACATAAAAATGTTCCTCGAAAGGGCTTGAAAATCCCTTGATAGTAAATAACTAATCTCTAGCTCCGACCCGGCGACTATCAAAACATTGTGGTTGGACTAAACTGCTCGAATTCTTTAGAAAGTGTCCGAAATTACCTTAAGGTGACCTTTGATTAGAAACAAGCGAACTAAGAACCTATATAATGTCAAAAATAAGAAAATATAAATTTCTGTGTACAAATAGCTCATTCCGCGCCTACTACGAAACCTAGTTCCTAGTTAACATCTTGTATGAAAACTGACATAATGTTACAGAAAACCTACATAATTTCACTTTTCAAGTTATGTAGTACCCCTGCGGATTTGAACTTATCGACCATAAAAGCTTTTCTATACCGAATATCAAATAAATGTTATAAAAATTGTATTTTTGATCAGCTTTTCAGTGGTCTGGACCACCGTGCGTCGTGCATCTGCTCTGCGCATCACCAGCAAAATAAGGCTGCGTTTAAAATACGATCTATCATAGTGAGTTCAGAAAACCATTCATTAATTTCTTGAAGAAGCTCGTGTCGCGCTCCACATGTGCTCATTCCAAACAATCATTAGCTAAATTTTCCAGCATTTCAGTATCTGCAAAATCGATTTACCCGCCGATCTTAATTCCAGGTATGCTGTCCCCCTCGCCACCATATCCTACCTATTCGTACGGGTGTCCCGAGAATTGGGACATCCGGCTGCCGTAATCACGTACGAAGCACGAGCTAACGACACCTCGAGACGTAGAACTGGCAGTCATTCCACAGCCACAGCGACAGATTTGCGGTGAGTAGGAGTAGCGAGAATATATTCTTAGTTATTGAACGCTCGGAACTCTGTGTACAGGATTGACTGCTTTAAGTTATCCTTGGAGGCTTGGGGCTCTACGATGGACGATAGCAGATGCGATAAAAAAAATACGCTGAATTGTCTTATTACGAAGAAGTCATTCAGGTTAAATCAAATTTAATCTCCTTGAAAATACTCTCTTGCGGTAAAAACTTGCGATTCAGAGGCGATGTAAGGCAAGGCGTATTGTCGTGATGGAGAAAACCGTTAGCCCATTTTTCGAGACAATTTCTCCGTACACAGTCTAGCAAACGTAGTAGCACTTGTAGTACGAGCCCCTTCCCACTTCAGTTGACCCACTTCAAGATTGGTACCAAAATATGCCTTTAAAAACTAAACATGATGAAACTATTTACTTCTAAAACAATTTATTTTCTCAAAAACATTTTATATACACTCTAGTCGGAAAAAATACATATTTGTAATCACTTAGACCTATAACTAATAGAACATCTGAACAAATAAACAATGTGCGAATAAATGCGCGGAGTTAACAAAGCAACAATTGAAAGATTACCATTGGGTAACATCACCTTTATTTTTTATTACGGCTGAAATTCTTTGGGGCATAGTGTTAACCAAGTTTTGGCAGAAATTTGCTGTAAATCAATCCCATATTTCTTGAAGCTTTTGTCTCAGTTCGGTGATTGTACGAGCAGGATGTTGTCGTAGAACCTTTTTCATCTCGTGCCACAAAGTTTCAATAGGTGACATATCTGGACTGCTAGAAAGCTATTTCAGCATCTTTTTTTTGCTTTAGGACCAAGTCATGCAGCCAGAAACTAGGTTGTTATATTTACATTTCTAATTATGGACAAACACACAACGTCACAACATCCATGGCGAAGGCGAGATTCGAACTCGCGGCCCGGCCAGCCGGCTGATCAGTAGCACGACACTCTGACCCACGCGGCCAACCGAGGTTCCGCTGCACCATCTTGCTGAAACACAAAATCTTGGCCGGATGTCAAACATTCTTCCATCACTGGTAAAATCGATTCTTCTAAAATTGCCAAATATTTGCATTTCCATCAATAAAATGAAGTTTTCCTACTCCTTTTGATGACATACTGCCCCAGACCATAATGGATTCTGGAAATTTTACTTTTCTCTTCAGACAGTCAACATGGAATGCTTTATTTTTTTGCGAATAACTCTACCGCGACTGTCACCAACACAAACTTCGAATCGGGCCTCATCACCCCATTGTATTGCACACCATTGTTGAGGTGTCCATTGTCTATGTTCTTTAGCCCATCTAAGCCATTTTTTCTTTTGCGGTGTGGATTTTCTTTGGCCTATAAACAAGTTGTGCAACTTTAGGGTTTTTGCTTCACTTTTTTTATAAGAAAACTTACCTTGCAAGTGCTAAATCCCAGTTTGTGGGCCTCTCTATGAGTTGTGGACCTCGAAATTCTCCTTCCAACAGCGTCACTCCACAGAGCACTTAATTGCAAATAATTGGCATGCCTGTTTTTCACGATTATTCTTCTTAATGCTCTTCGGTCGGCATTTGTAATATTACTTTTTTTTCACATATCGTGGCTTAATATTAACTGAACCAGTTACGTTATATCTTCTAACAATATTTCTCACACGGTAGCGCGATAAGTCTAACAAAGTTGCAATTTCTGAGTTTGATTTCCCAGAATTAAAAAATTTAATTATCAGTAACTGAATTTTCTCACTAATAACCTTTCCTCTACCCATTTTGAAAACCTTAACTACCCAAAACTATTTTAAACGTATTCTGACAGCTGTGATTAATAAAAACAATTGTCATGGCTTTTATTTTTCAGAGACACCTATGTTATATAGGTTGATATGCTGTAATTGCAACATGTGTTATTTTTATGCTGCAAATTTGATTAGGGAGTGATAAAGTTGGTGTTTTCTACTATATATTATCAAAATATTCATTGTTAGCATTTTAAACCTGTATCACCCTGCTACAGGTTTATTATACTAAGTAACATATAAATCCGAACACCCAGTTTAAATGGTTTTATTTTAATAAAAGTTGGAGAATGTATTTATCTTACTGTAAATAACAAGTGAAAAAATTTTCAGCCTTATCAGTTGGACATTCCGGTTTTTATACTGCTTTTTTTAATTCACTAACGCTCTAAAAATGAATATTTCAGCCGCAGTAAAGAATCAACGTTGGCGGATTTTGGTTCTTGACATCCTTTACGATCGGTTACGATGCCTAGAGTACGGAGACCTGTACGATTTCGTCAACTTAGTGAGCTTGATAGAGGCCGTATAGTGGGACTTCGGGAAGCTGGACTTTCTTTTCGGGCAATTGCAAAAAAGTGTAGACACTGTGGTTAGGTGTTGTCAGGCATGGCTTCGAGAAGGCCGTACGCAAAGAGCAAGGGGCACTGGACGCCGCCGTAGAACAACAGACCGTGAAGATCGCCGCCTAAGATTATGGGCCTTAAGGGACCGTTTCTCCACTACCAGGTCCATTGCAAATGAATGGTTTGCAGAACACGGAAGACCTATTGGCATGCGAAGTGTTTACCGACGAATGAGAAGTTTTGGCTTGTTTTCATACCGGCCACACTGGGTCCTCCCTTTAACTCGAGAACACCGACGTAATCGCCTTGAGTGGTGCAGACAACGGTCACTCTGGGATCAGGAATGGAACAGTATTGTCTTCAGTGACGAGTCTCGATTTTGTTTAGGCATGCACGATGGTCGTGCCAGGGTTAGAAGGCGACGTGGTGAAAGGAGGAATCCACAGTTTTTTGTTGATCACACTGTTGGAGTTATGGTTTGGGGTGCTATAGCTTATGGTTCCAGGTCACCTTTAATCTTCATCAGAGGTAACATGAACGCGCAGCGTTATATCCACGAAGTTCTAGAACCCCATCTTTTACCCTATCTTGACACCCTGGCAGATCCAACTTTCCAACAAGATAATGCCCGACCACATGTTGCAAGAGTCACAATAGACTTCTTTCATCATAATGATGTCACATTGTTACCATGGCCACCAAGATCTCCCGACTTATCCCCAATTGAGCACGTGTGGGATATGATGGGTAGGAGATTGCTCAATTTGCAACGTCCTCCTCAGACTCTAGAAGCACTTCGAGAGGAGTTGGTGGTTGCCTGGAATGAGATACCACAGGAGGACATTGACCACCTGATCAGAAGCATGCCTAGGCGCGTTGAAGAATGCGTAGCACATCAGGGTGCATCCACACATTATTAAAGGTCAAATGGCTTTAAAGCAGTGCAATCATTTTGAAATTTTTATCATTTACTTATTATGCTTCATTAAGTACTTATACAAAATTTTATTAAAATAAAACCATTTAAACTGGGTATTCGGATTTATATGTCACTTATTATATTTGTGTTTGATAAGAAAAAAGCTAAGATTTCAATAGTTGGGCCAACTGAAGTGGGAAGGGGCTCGTATTAGGAGTTTACAGGCGTATGCGTTGGAATGATCTCTATAAAAAAACAGGCACTCTGTTTTAATTGGAAAATCTGCGTTTTTATTTCAGTGTCATAGCCACACACCCAGATTTTATATCCAGTCATAATGTTGCCCATGAAGACCTGATTTGTATCAAGACGACCCTTTAATTCCGACCAAACTAGCAAACGACTTTCCTTCCACTCGATACTCAAAGTATATGAACGAATGTCCCATCGACTCGTCTCATTTACAATCTATCGGTTAAAATATTTTGTACCTATACGAGATGTTCACTTCGACCAGCTCTCGAATCATGTTTGTCACTTTTTGTACCTTTTTGTTTTTGAAGGACATCCGGTCAAAAAAGACCTATAAAATGTCATCTTGGAAACAGTCATTCCACGTTGTCGTCCATCTATGGATGAATGACTAAACTAAACTACACGCATTGTTGGTTGCATATGTTTTGTGAAGCCGAGTGGTCTGTAGCTTTCATCTCTGAAAAGAAAGTTGGTTGTATAGCAAGATCGCATCTGGATGATTATGTGTATTGGTCTGCATGTGTATAAAGTCAGTGATAATTGCTGTGTGAGAAAGTCATTACTGAATATGCTGCCAATGAAATATATCTGTTAGCTGTGCCCGACAAGCTGTTTGTGCTGTGCTTTCTGAAAAGAGGTTATGTTCAAAGTTAAAAATTACGAAAAACTTTGAGGAGAATTACTAGAAATCACCACCGCGTCCGCGTTGTGCGTAATTACTGTTAGCATGTATATGGCTTGTAATTCTACAGTGTACAGTGAATATATTATCTCCCTCATTTTTTAAAATTCAGCAAATTTGTATATGTATTTTCCAGAATGGATAAGGAAAAGTGGATAATGGAATTATCATCAACACATACAACTTACAGACCTCCAGTGATACCATCTCTGAAGCAGATTTCACATCAGAGCCAAATATTGATAACTGAAGCCTCATGACGTTTAGGCAACACGTACCACTAAGTGCTAAGTTAACATTTTGTAGAGCAACCTACATGATGTCAAAAAATAACAGTATAATGTCAAAAAAATCGATATAACGTCACTTTTCAAGATACGTAATACCCGTACGGACCTTTACTCGTCCTCAACCGACTCATTCAATATTTTGAATCGCTCATACCACTTATAAGCAGTATCCAAAGTCACTATATCATCACCATACATGAATTTCAACACTTCATGAGCTTAGTTGGCTCTTTTTTGCGTATTGAAACAGAATTTTATGTTATCAATGATGCACGACAGATACAGCAAATATAACCTCACTATTTTAGCTCTGGAAGGTAATAGACAAGTCGCAACTTATTCAAATTCATCTCAGACTCGCAATGCGACAAACTATCAAACGTAACGTATATTTTGATACAACATATTTATCAGATTTTTTTTTAATGAAGAAATTTAATTAAATACTAACCTATTTATCATAAATTACAACTCAATACTCGACTAAACTATACGAATCAAATTATGTGGAGCGGACCATTCTGCTCTACGAGATGCAACTTTCTTCGAATATCTCTCATGAGGTCCTGGTGGGAATTCAGATCAGTTTCTCTCAGTTTTTCGTAAATTTGCCGATTTAATTGTTCTTCATCCTAGGCTCCCCAACCTTCATGCGAAACCTACCTAGACAGTAGAGCTCAAAAATCCTTTATTGGGCGAGACTGCGGCAAGCTTGGAGGATTATCATTTTTGGGAACAAAAGGTATGTTGTGTTGTCGAAGCCAGTTTTGGGTATCTCTTGAGTAACGGCATGATGCTAGGTCTGGCCAAAACTTGATATGGTCATTAGCATGATGTTTGTGGGCGAAACTGAAGCAATTTTATAAGGCAGTTATCAATATAGGTCTGACTATTCAAAGCTTCACCCCTCACTCTTCCCACAAAACGTTGGGATACACCCCTGTTAGAAATTGCGTACCAGACAAGGATTTTATCTGCAAATTTCGCTTTACTCATATGTTTGTATCTAAAATTGTCAGGGCATTCCTCTACGTTGTCCGTATAAAAGCCGTCGTATCCATTCATTTCAGAATTACTCAAAGTGAAATACTTTATGTCAACTAAAATAATGATCTTTCCATTGGAAAAGTTGCCACGTCTTTTTTTTATAAACAAGAGGAAATGGTGAGGTGATTCCTCTTTCCTTGTTTTAAATTAATAAATTACTATAAATCAAATCTAAGGGTCGGCCAATGCAAAACAGCTGTTAAGTGGCGCACAAAGAAAAAAAAATCTAATAATGTATAAATCTAATTAACTGTATAGAGAGAGCCAAATAAAACAAGATATCTAAAAAAAAAGAATCACAATATATTGCCAAAACAAGCAGCACATTTGCTCCACCACTGGAATGCAAGTTAAAAGAAAAGCTTATTAAAAACTACCTACAATAAAATTAATAGACCGTAATAACTAACCCTGCAAAACGTTTACAATGGTACACGTACAAAGGCTTTACAAATATTCCAACGCCTAAACCTAAAC